GAATGCAGTCCTTGTCTGCTTTCTTTTCATCTGTGATTCAACCAAAATATTAAATCGTCCGATACCGGGGGTTAAGAAGGACAGCGGGAGAATACTCTGTCCTGGCTGATGGCGAAGGACGCGGCTGCTGGGAGGGGAGGGGGGGTCACCCTGGTTTCTTTTTACCTCTTCGTCCTCCAGCAGGATGAGGCGCACTATGGCGATGTTGATGGGGTTCCCGATGCTGGGGTGGTGGAACAGACCCGCCACCTGCAACACGCAAAAGCCAAAGAAATAAAACCCGAAAGAAAGACCTTGGGCTGTGCCACCGCTGCTGGTGAGCGCGTCTGCACGGGGAGACGAGCTCGAGGGGAAGCTGCTGAGGGCTGCTGACAATATCTCGGGGAATTCCCCCAAATCAGAGACCAGCCCAGATGCCGACCTGGACTAAAGCGTTCGGGGTGCGATGATATCCCTTTAAAACTGATCTAACCTGTGCTGCACGTGGAAACTCAACCAGAAACTCCCAGGGAAACACCCCTGCTCCCCCTCCTAACAGATGCCTTTAACACCTCAAAGGCAGCCCGTGCTCTCCGGGTGCCTCACCAGCCCCCAGAAACCCCGGGATGGATGTCACCGTGAGGTCCCCCCAGGATGAGCCCTGGGGAGGCCAGTGGTCTGTACGCCCCACAGCCACGGCCCCAGGGAGCTGGCGGCTCCGCCGCTGGGAGGAGCAGGACTCACCATGTTCATCACGGTCAGCACGTACTTCTCTATGTTCTCGCTCCCGTGGTACTCTACCATCTTGGTGTCTGCCACCACCAGCGTTTCCACCCACTTCTCCTTGCTGATGGAGCGCTGCTTTATTCTCCTCGTCCTGTGCTGCTTCTGTTCCCACCGCTCCCTCCGCTTCTCAGACCTCTCCAGGCTTTCCTGAGATTCTGAGGGATGAAAGGGGGAAAAAAGATTTTTTTTTTTTTTTTTTGGAAAATGTCTGCAACTTTGCTAAAATATCATCAAGGCCTTTTTTTTTTTTTTTTGCTTCAAAGAAATAACCTTTTGCTGTTGAAGGAAGCTCCACGCTTAGACCCATAACCCACATGTATTTTGCTGTGCTGGACGTTCCAACAAATCCCTGGGGAATGAAGACTCTGCCCTCAGCCTGCTGCACGGCAGCATTAGCATGATAGAAAATAATAAATAAAGCATTGGAAGTGATTTCTGCAACTGGAACAGGGTTTGCAATATTCCCTGAAGGACACGGAGCCGCCCGGAGCAGAGCACTCAGGGTTTGTACTGACGTGGGAATTTATGGCAACCCTGCGGGGACGCTTGAGCGTGTGCCACCGAGAAACCACCCCAGCGGCTCAACACTCCGGATTACCACCACAAATCTGCATTTCGGAGGGAGAGACAGCTCCCCAGCACATAAACTCTGTGTCCCCAAAGGTGGGCTGATGTCTCGAGCCAAATCCCAAAGACCATCAGTGTCCTGGGCGAGCCCAAGACGCTGCAGGACCACACAGAGACCTCCTCAGCCCCATGGAGCCTGAACCCTGCTCCTTCCCGGGGAGAAACAACGGGAACATTCACTGGGCTGGGAGGAGCCGGGAGGCGGAGGGGAGCTGGGATGCTCCTCACGCACACCAGCAACTGGGAATTCACACGCGGAGCCTTTTCCTGTGACGTTGCTCCAAGATCAAGGTCAGGGTCAGCCCCAAGCTGGGCGAAGGCTTTACAAACCCCATCCCACACAGTGGGAATCGCTTTTATGGCCGGTTCCTACGGGCTCAGCCTTACCCTGCTAACAATGGACTTTCAGATTTACGGACTCCACTGCTCTTCAGCTGTGAAAGAGGGTTCTATCCCCCAGCCTGAAAAATCCCAAGTATCTGGATAATTTGACGAATTGCTAATACCACTGTGACAGTTTAATCACACCAGCTTCCTTGGAGCTTGTCTCCATTGTGTCCTCCGCTGCTCAGCTCCCAGCCGGGACGGGAAGGTCCTGCAGGATGGGTGCGGAGGGCTCCGGGGGCATCATCCCTTTGGGACCCCCCCCAGACACCCGCCCAGCTGTACACACAGCCTGCCCCTGGGTATTGACAGAGCCTCAATAGCTCCTAACAGCCTCGCACCATCTGGCTCCGGGGTGTTTTTGCAAAGAAAAGCGGCAATACAGCAGTACAAAAGGAAAGGCTCGCAGCAATTAAAACCCGACAGACATTCGGTTTCCTTTGAGGGCGCACACATCAGCCCCGGTGCAGCACAGACCCACACGCCTGGTGACATTCATTTGCAATGAATAGACTTCAAAGTCTAGAAGGAGACATTATGATTATTGACATAAATTGAATAATTAATTTAGATAAATGGAAGAATGTCTAGAGATAACCTGATCATAAAAAAACCAAAACAAACAGTTTCCAAAAGCAGAGGCCTCTAGGAAACATGCAATGCAAGATGCACCGCCTGGAAGATGCAGCTTCACTGATGCAAACGAGGAGTAAAGCATCCGTGAGCTGCTGGGGATGTGCCGAATTCCTAGTTATTGAAACCTTGGGCTTGGCAGTTTTTCCAGCCCATCTGCTCCTGACAGAGGAGAAGGAACCAGCATGCACCCTCTGCCCCGCAGCAGAGTCTCCGGGGCAGCGACTGGGTTTAACTCCGAAAGTCCAATGCCCTGGCAGGTCAGAAACCAATGTTTGGAAGGAAATGAAAACAAATACTCGGTCTCCACATGTTGGAATGCTTGCAACGGGGCCGGGAGGAAAAGCTGAGAGCAAGAGGTCTGGGGTCCAGCAGGCACTTAAGGGTAACGAGTCTGCAGAGGCAACGCGGGGGGCTAAGGACGGGCACTGCTCCCTTTATCTTCCTACCGTGTGCTTCAGACTTACAGACGTGAAGATACTGATCCCAGCTGATCACAAAATGCAGGGGAGGGACCGTACCTCGCACGCCGCAGGTTTCCTGCGGAGCCGCTGGCCCCTGTCCTTGCTCTGCCCCGTGCTCGGGCGCCTGGCGCTTGTATATCCTGTGGGGCTGCGCTGCTCCAGCCTCCCGAACGCCGTCGGACACGGGTTCGATGAAATAGTCCTCGTCCATCAGCCGGAACACACCTTTCTGGCAGGGAGAGACCAAGGTGTCACCGTGAAGCCACCCACACCCAGCACAGACTCACGCTGAATGCCTGGGAATGGGAGAGGGTTGCAAAATTTTCCTGGAAAAGCAGGTCTTCTCTAAAGAAACCTTTTTAATGGGTATTTCGAGCTCCAAACTCCCATCCCTAGCCCCTGCCTGCTGCCCCTCACCATGGTCTGTAACAAGAGTAGCAAACAGCCTGGGAGAAGATGACATTTTACTGGCAAAACTACACAAAAGACGGCAGAACCCAGCTCTTAAGACCATATTTTCCTCTGCATCCCCACCACACCACATGTATAAGGGGACTATACTGCCCCAGCCTGTAGTCCTGAACTCCCATCCCTAGCCCCTGCCTGCTGCCCCTCACCATGGTCTGTAACAAGAGTAGCAAACAGCCTGGGAGAAGATGACATTTTACTGGCAAAACTACACAAAAGACGGCAGAACCCAGCTCTTAAGACCATATTTTCCTCTGCATCCCCACCACACCACATGTATAAGGGGACTATACTGCCCCAGCCTGTAGTCCTGTGCTCGCCCAGCCCGGCAGCACGCTCCTCGCCTACACCCTGGAGCACCGACCATGCCCACGAGCGGCGTGGGAGTAACTCCCTGTAACGCAGCCGTAGCTCAGAACACACCTGACTTTCCAGAACAATTCTGAGACACGCAGCACATCGCTAAGTGCTGCTTTCCGCGGTTTAGTGTCTGTCTGACATGAAGCCGTGGTTAAAGACCGAGCAGAGAAGGTTTCAAGCAACTCAAGGCTGAGTTCTGCTCCCACTCGCAGTCTACGGGCTGCAGACCCCCTTGCAATGTTGTGCCAATAATGTCTCTTGTGAGCTAACAATTTTTTCTGCTTCTTAAAAAATGACACTAATCCGTAGCACTTCCACGACACCGCTCGTTTTCAACCCACTTTACCGACCTTAACGATGGGGTTCGGCAACCACCACCGTGACATGGGTGTTTTCAGGTGACACATTGTGTGGATGACAAATTATTTAATGAGTAACTTCTTTTTTTGCTCTGTGGTTAATTCACAAAGAAAAGTTTAATTAATAAAGCATGTAACTCAAATGACATGGGTGAACATCCTCCCGCCATTCACCAGCAGCTCGGTTCTGCCTGACCCACGCTGCAAGAGTGGATTCCTGAGCCTCACGGCGGGACGAGGCCACGCAAACACTTCCAGAACCATCCCATATCACTGGGGTGCCCCTGCTTACACAGACACTCACGGCAGCGCTCGCAGCACTTTCTGCTTCTGCGCACACTGCAGCCATCAGCGCTTCCCTCAAGGAAACGCTCATAGACAACCAAATCCAGAGGTCGTAGGTTCCTCCCAGGTGCATCGGTCTATTTTTTTATCCAAATTATGGGCCTGGCTATTTTCTGCACCCTTCATCCCCCTGCAGACAGGGGTGCTGTGCTGAACACCCTTTGCTCCTGTTAAATTTAGTAAGAAAAGAGCAACCAGCATCTTTCAGGACGTGCCCAGCTCCTGTCCTGCCCGTCCTGCCCTGCTTCAGCCGCGGTGGGGATGGTCCGAGCTCTCTTCTTGCAGAGCAGCAGCAGTGATGCTCCCCACTCACACCTCCGTGCTCTGGTCCCTGAACCCCAGCACCAGGCTCATGTGCCTCCAGACAAGGCGCAGTGATTTGAGGGGCCTCCAGAGATCACCCGTTTAAAATCCACCCCACTCGCTCAGGCTCACTCAGCGTCCAGGCGCACGCTCGCCTTTATTTAAACACAGGAAGCTTCAAAAGCAAACACAGTCCCCCCCCAGCGCAGGCAGCCACCTGCGGCAGCTTCGATGCTCCGACCCCGCTATCGTCCCTCCGCGCCCAGAGGTGCCGGGTGTGTGCGCTGCTGGTGATCCCTCCCTCCGCAGCGGACACCCTGCAAGAGGTTTGAAACCCTGCGCGGGTACCCGCATTATCTGGGTGCCAGCTAAGGCAGAGATGCACCCAAGTCCTGAATTTGCCCTGCTAAGTGCCAACACAAGAGTCTGTTTGTGAAATTCACGGCACCTTTCAGCAAAACTTCCGCTCTTACAGGTCACCATCACCCTCGAAAATGTTTGCGGTGGAG